GAGGTATAGTGTGCATCATGAACTGTCCGCCCGCCCCCGCGGCACCACTTGCTGCATTTTCTCCATTTTTTTTTCTAAAAAAAGCTGTCGCATCAGCCCCTTGTTCATAATAAATCCATATCCGTCGCCGCCTCTCTCTGAGTCTTCGTTGCCGAATTGCATTCAGTTCAGTTTACACCCTCATCTCTACGTCGTCATCGCACTGTCACGTTGAGTTCTCTTTTTTTAGTCAGTGCTTCTTCGAAATGGCGGTACCTCTGCCCATGGTCTCAGAGCGAATGAACAACCCCAAAAATCCGGTGGTCTTCTTTGACATTACCATTGGCGGTCAGGAGATTGGTCGTATCCAATTTGAGCTGTTTGCGGATGTGGTACCAAAGACTGCCGAAAATTTTAGGTTGGTTCCGACTATTCTACGACTAGTGTAAAAAATGTTATATTATCCTCTCTACTGAAATGAGACGTAGACGTAACTTAAATGCCATTTTATTGAGTTTTTCTATCACCATGTCTGTAACGCGATGTTTGGTTGAGGCAAGTTAACGAAAATCACTTGGGGATTCAATCTAACTGCCCAATTACCAGGTTAATTTGGGGTTGACCACATGGTCAGGCTGCTTGCATAGGTCGGGTTTCTCCCGCCGTATATAGACAACTTCCAAATAGCGCAGAGTTCGATCTGTTCGTGCCCGAACAAGTTCTCGAAACGCTCTTTTGACGTCTACAGAATGACCGCTGTCTAGCAAATGCCTAGTAATAGAAGGCCGTGATACTCTATCTTCTTGCCTGGAAAGCCAGTTGGGCAAGTGCTCAGCGGCCCTGGCTGCCAGTTGCCTTTGCGTACGCCCACTGTACTTGCATTTGCAAGTGCGTGCGAATTTACACACGCAATTTGAGGTTGTGTGCAACGGCAAGGCTGCGTTTTGCTGCGTTGTAGGTCCTTTCTATGGTAAAGCGCAACCGTCGCTTGATTGTATTTGAAATATCATAACCCTTAAAGGGCGAGATATAATGACGGGCTTTTTGGAACGGACTGTTCCATCAATTTTGGCTGTAAAGAATTGCTATACTTCTGAATAAAGCGTGCAGGGTAGCCACAGTTAAGTAGGACTGTTTTGATGCGGGAAAGTTCTGCAGGCAGGGTCTCACTAGAGCAAGTGTGCCTTGCTTGTTGAAAGAGAGTATGCACCAGATTTCGTTTCCACTGAATTGACACAAAACTCACGAAAGGTAGGTACTGCCCTTTCCACGTATTTCGTGGAAAGCCGAGCGCTCAATGGAATCATCATCTTCTCTTAGCACGGAGACGTCTAGGAAGGATAGCTTCCTAAGCTGCTCTGTTTCCATTCTGAATTTAATTGTTGGGGTGTAAGGTCTTCATTAAATTGAGGAGGTCATCGGCGTCATCGTAAATATATCATTTGCATATCTTCTACATAATTCTGTCTTACTAAGTCTTGATGGCGGTTTTTCTTCTACATGACCCATAATAACATCCGCAAATGTGGGCCCTAGTGGATTGCCCATTGCGACTCCGTCCATTTGTCTGTGAAATTATCCATTAAATATAAATTGTTCTTTTTTCGCGTTTACGGGATACTGTACCTTTAGGCAATACTTTGCTAACTACTGGTATTTGGTCATTCAAACGACTTCTCAGACTTTCGCTTCTATCTGAGGGCGAAATAATATTTCATATTGGGATTGAAGACGGGAAAGCGTTCTCTGGGACCAGTTGTTTATTTGCCCGACGTTTTGAACTCACGCGAGCCCATTGTCAAGGGATACAAAAAGTGTACCTCTGCCTTTTTTGATCTCAGTCCTGCCGGGAGCGACCTTGAGCTCTGCCATCGATTTGTTCACGCAACGCGAAACGGGCACCAGCAAGATCGATAGGTCTATTAGTAGAGTCGACACGCGAGTGCCATGCCTGCTCCAGCAGGCGTGAGATCAGTCGGTCGTCCGAAATGGCCCTCACATGGGAACTCTATTACAGTAGTTGCCGGTTATTAAGCCCACCTCGGGCCCAGACCAAATTGGGTTTAATAAGCGG